GAAATTGACATGTTGAAGAAACAATTGTCGAGAGCTTTGAAATGAAGGATCTTGGTCCAGCCAAGCAAATTCTTGGTATGAGAATCTCCCGAGATAGAGATAAAGGTATTTTGAACTTATCTCAAGAAAAATATATAGAAAAATTGCTTAGCAGATTCAATGTTGGGAATGCTAAAACCAGGAATACACCTTTGGGAACTCACTTAAAGTTTTCAAAGAGGCAATCTTCTCAAACGAAGAAGAAGAAAGTCACATGTCTAAAGTGCCATATGCATCTGCAGTAGGAAGCTTGATGTATGCTATGGTTTGCACCGGACCGGACATAGCACATGCAAGTGGGAGTTGTGAGCAGATTTCTATCAAATCCCGGAAAGGAGCATTGGGAAGGAGTGAAGTGGATATTCGGATATTTGAAAGGCACTTCAAAGATGCATTTGTCTTTCAAGATAAGTAATCTCATTTTACAGGGGTTTTCCGATGCGGACTTGGGAGGTGATCTTGACGGTAGAAAGAGCACAACAGGTTATATTTTTACATTGGGTGGTACAGCTATCGGTTGGAAGTCTAAACTTCAAGGAAGGGTCTCTCTCTCAACCACTCGAAGCGAGTATGTAGCTATCTCGAAGCAGCAAAGGAGATGATATGGTTGAAGAACCTTCTAAAAGAATTAGGAAGAGAACAAGATGGTTCTCCGTTGTTTAGTGACGATCAAAGTGCTATTTGTCTTGCTAAAAATCCAATCCTTCATTCCAGATGTAAGCACATTGAATTGAAGTATCATTTTATCGAAACCCGATAAATGATGGAGACTTGAGTTTGTTGAAGATTCCAGGTGCAGAGAATCCCGCCGATATGTTGACCAAGACTGTTACAACAACTAAGTTGAGGCTTTGCATTGCCTCAACCGGCCTTCGAGCAAATTGATGATGAAGGCACTACACTAGGTGGTAACGTAAATCAAACTCCAAGTGGGAGAATTGTTAGTATTATGGTGCTTGATTTAGTCCCACATCGATTAGGATTGTGAGATGAGGTTCTCTATTTTGTTATATAAGCAACCCTATGTAAAGTTTGAGATACACACAGAAATAAAAATACTTCCTAGTGTAGTCGTGGACGTAGGCATACATATTTTAGCCGAACCACGTTAAAATTCTTGTGTCGTTTATTTTTCTCTCCTTCATTCTTTCCTTTATTATTGTCTTGTTCCTAACAATGAATTGTTAGTATTATGGTGCTTGATTTAGTCCCACATCGATTAGGATTGTGAGATGAGGTTCTCTATTTTGTTATATAAGCAACCCTATGTAAAGTTTGAGATACACACAGAAATAAAAATACTTCCTAGTGTAGTCGTGGACGTAGGCATACATATTTTAGCCGAACCACGTTAAAATTCTTGTGTCGTTTATTTTTCTCTCCTTCATTCTTTCCTTTATTATTGTCTTGTTCCTAACAATTGGTATCGAGCCAAGGTCACGAGTTCGATTCCTGGTGGGCAATTGTTGAGGGGAGATTGTTGCGGGTTGCACAATTGTCCCGTGGCAGAGGCCGGTGGGCCAAGTCACAATCCAAGAGTGGGATACCTTGTAGGACAATTCGCTGAGGGAGATTGTTGCAGGTAGCATCAATTGTCCCGTGACGAAGGTCGAGTGGCCGAGTCACAATTGAATCGTAGCGCTTAGTCGTTAAAGTAAAAGAGTTAGCGCTTCGACTAAAGGCTATAGCTTTTGGCCTAGTGGTAAGCGCTCGATCCTAACAGAAAGGCCCCATCTTGACATACACACAAGAAAAGACAGTACCTATTTCCAGAGGATTTAATGAAAGAAACTAATTGCTTGATTTCATACTCAGTACTATTGTAAAATAAATTCATTGTCGTTTGGTTATTATATTCAAGTCTTATCACAACCACTACTACCTACCAAGTATTATTTTTATTAACTACAAATATGTACCAAAAATGAATATACAAAAATAAAAAGAAATTATATATATATATATATATATATATATATATGTATATTCATAAAAGAAATTATTATTGTTGTCCAATTTTGTTTGGTGGTGCGGTACAACTGAAAAGTGAAACCCACCTTTCACAGGTTTTATTCTTGGGCTGCTAAGGTCTGTTTTGTGAATCATAACTTTATATATGTCTCGGCAGAAAAAACATGTATCATTTTTAATTGTCGTGTTTTCAATGTGATGTTAACGTAAAATAAGTTATATTAGTATAATTTTAACTTAATTATAAAATTAATAAATAGTCATTTTTTATCGAATAATATCTCCTTTGTATAAATTTTTTACTCAAAATATGTTTTGAAATCGAAAAGTATGGTAAAGTACAATTGATTAATGATTTTTTCGATTAAATTAAATTTTTAAACTAGTGCATCTATATTAATATCATAATTAATTTGTAAGTAATTTTTTTCAACTGTAGAATTTCTTTTACATTTAACATTTTATTCAACCAGTGTTTCACAGAATTCGATACCATTTCACCACAAAGCGTTAATGTTTTTAAGCTATTTCAACAATTATTTACTTGGTCTCATAATGATTTATCTCTTTCAGATTGTTATTTTTATCCTTTTTAATTAAATTCAACAGTTTAAACTAAATTATTAAATAATTAAATACAATCTTTTATTGAAATATAAATTATGCATCATAAATATAAACTAACACTTATATGTTTAAAATTGTTTATTTATAATAATTTTTAGATATATTTTATACATTAAATGTATTAATTATATATTAATATATAAATCTTTATGCTTTTGTATGTGTAAAAATTGTAGCTAAATTATAATTTGACAGTCTGGTTTATTCAATTTCTTTCTGAATTAGTTTTTAGAATAAATGTGAAAGGGGTTTTGATCAATATCAATCATTATTGGTATCTGATTCTAGGGCCATTGTCCGTTTCCTAGTTGAGGTCTTCTTTTTACTTATTTCTCTTCCATTTTTATCTTTAATTTTTATACCTCAAATGGGAATTTGCATCTAAAGCTAGGGTGTGTTTGGAAGGAACAACCGAAGAAGGGGACAAACGTGAGAGATACAACTTTTAAGATATGGATAAGGCTACTATTGCGTTTAGGCCTTTTCTCCTTCCAGTGGGCCTCTGCTCTTATTCCCTCGGATTCCGTTCACACAAACATGTCACTTCCAACTTTCTATTTCTTGTCTTTCATCATTCCCAATTCAAATTTCAAAAGTACTCTTCCATAAAACTAATTATGATAATAAAATTACTATCCTAAACATGTTACACTAATTATAAAATGCGTTAATTACATATGTTTCAGTTTTATCATGTGAATATAACATAATTTCTCATGCTAATTAAATATATTCCACTCTATTTAATGATATATTTTTATCTTAACAATCTATAAATATTATAACTTTAATTCTATTAAAAATATTTATCATATATTATATTATACATTAAAAGCATACCAGTCAACATATAACGTTTTCTTCCTTCGTTGGTTTTTATTTTTGGATATACCAAAATATTTATATATTTTATACATATAACATTATTTTAATATTTTTATCAAAATTGAAAAATATTATTTTAGAAATTATCAATATCATTTACTAATATATAATATTATTTTAAAATGTCAAACTTATTAATTAAAATATTTAATATTAAAATTAATATCACTGAATTCATAAATTTATGAAAAAAGTACTACAATAATATACTTATCATTTTCAACATAATAAAACATGAATATACTTAAAAATAACATTAACGTCAAATTTAATGCTAGCATTAGTTTTATTAGAAAAAAATAAAAGTAAATATTTAAATACTGACATTGTCAATTATATTTTTTTAATTTCAAAAATAATATTTTAAAAGTTATAATGTTAATTTTACAAATACAACAATGATGTATAACGTCTTAATAAATATTAATTAATAAATTAGAAAAATGTAATTATTATTTAAATGAATAAAAAATTGTTTAATAATTTTAAAGATCTAAACTATAACTTAAATTTTTAATATTTTTATACTTTTTAATTCATTATTTAAATATTTCAAAGTTATAACTTTCTAACTATGTAGTAATTAATAATCTAACAAAATTTATGCTTTGGTTAAATTAATAAGAAAAATTTCATTAATAATTTTACAAATTTAAAACATTACCCAAATTAATAGCTATTTTCGTAATTATTATGTTTAATATATTAAATCATATTAAATATTTATTCTTAATTTATATTGTTAATTTTATATCTATAATAATCATTTTTAACTTTTTAATTACATATTGATTAATAATTTAATAAAAACATATTTATAAATAACTGTATAGTACTTTCTTTAATACTTTTTGTAAATAACTACTTCTTTAATTATTTTATTGTTTTAAAATACTTATTAATTATGTTATTATTGTATTAAATTAAATTAAATTAAAAAATTCAGAATTTTTGCTTCATTGTTCGTTATTTATTAAAGAGAAAATTTGGTCAGAAACAAAATCCTTTACCCAATTGTCGGGGCAGAGACAACTAAGTATGGGCTTAAACCCAATTATCGTTTATTTATTAATGAAGTTGTTTAAATTTTTTTATAATTATTTTATCAAATAATTTATAAAAATAATTTTTTTAAAATAATAATTTGTTTTAAAAAATTATTAAATATTCTAATAAAATAAAATAAATAATAAATTATTTAAAAATGAAAATAATATAATATCATAAATTTTTATTTTATATGTTTTAAGATAATAGATAACTTTGGAGAGTATCGAAGGTGTCCTTAAAGGAATTTATGATTTTTGCATTAGTCAAATCTATCACGTGTATTATGTACTATACTACTGGTGAGAGTACAGTGTACGGACATCAGTAGAAGCCATCTTTCATACATGGTTTGTCTACAAATTATTGCAGGTCCTCCATATTACTATTACACAACAAAATTACCACTTAGGTGTCGATAAGAAGAGGCCATGAAAGAGGGGCTCCCAGGTTGTATAACTCACATGTTTGAGACGCTTGTTTCCTTTATGATCCACAGATAGTAAATAATATGACAGTTGATTTGCAATGTATTGCATGGTTTAAGAAGTCGAGTTGAATAAGAGTTCATAGTCTTTTCATTGGAATCACTAAAAATAAGATAAAAAGAAACGATAGAAAAGTAATATTGTAAAATATGGTTTGATTGAAGAAGTAGGAAAGTGAGAGAGCGTTTTTTGTTGGTAACCCATGATATGCAGAGATGAGTATGTATAACAAAGAATAACGAGGTGGTGGTTACTGAGTGGTTGTGTTTGTGCATATGTGGTTTGATTATGGTGCAGAGCTTGAATCAGGAGAGAGAGAAGGCGCGTTAAGAATTTTTTTTCCGTACTGGGTATTATGATAGAACGGTGATGTATTCAATAATATTTATAGATTTAAATTTAATTTACATTTAAATAAGAAATTTAGAGATGTTTGATAAATTAATTGTGAAAATTTTACTCAAAGCATAAAATTATTTGGTGAAATTACAATATCAAATAGATGTATGGAGAATAAATTTTCCTTTTCTTCTTCTTTTTTTATTTTCTTCTTACTCACATATTTAATTTCTAGTTCAGTGCTATTGAGTATTAAAATTCTCTCTAAGAAATTCTTTGCTCTAGAGTTTCTAAAAATCCTATTGTAATAATCATTAAAATAATTTTTTTGCATTAAGTTCAAGATTATATCAACTAATAATATTACATATATTCCTAGCATACAACATTATAAGATGATTTGATCTAAATATATCCAAGTTTAGTTTTCGAATATAAATTCAAATCAAAAATCAAATATAGTTGATCAAGTCACCTTAGCTTTAAGTATAAAATCAAATCATTAACACTAAATAGCAATATTTCATATATATGTAAGTTAAGAGAAGTATAGAAGAAGTTAATAAGTTATATTCAATCTCACTACAGGATAAACTTAGTTACTCATAGTGGGAATAAATACAAACTAAAGTTAGAAACCCTGAGATAGAACTTGAGTCTTCTTCCTCTCCTTTTCAATCTCTTAAACCCTATTCTCCAATGTTTTTCCCTTGCTGCTGCCACTCAAAACCTTCTTTCGTTCTTTATATGTTTTCTATTTTAATGATTTATCGTTCAAGTTATCGTTACTCGCTCAAGCGAAAAAAAAAACTTTGTACGGAATAAACCTAGTCTCGCTTAAGCTAAAGTCCCTTCGCTTGAGCGATGTTAAACCCAAGAGTCATCAAAAGTTGTAGTATTTCTCGTTCAAACGAGGAATTTCTTGCTTGAGCGCATTGAGCCCGAGAGTCACCAAAAGTTGTAGCATGTCTCGCTCAAGCGAGGTATGTCTCGTTTGAGCAAAATTCAACTCGAGAACCACCATAAGTTGTAGTTTTTCTAGCTCAAGCAATGTATGTCTCGCATGAGCGAGAGTTTCCTTGTCATGTTGCCTTGTTTAGTTAGCAAGTCAACTTTTTATACTCTTCTAATTTCTTATAAGAGAATATGATATCATTTTCAGTTAAAAATATTAAGATATTAGGTTATGAGTTTTTTTCACATGTAAGTTATTAAACTTTTGCATTTCTACCAAATACAAAACTTTAACTCATACTTAAATTCTTAGTAGAAATCTTATTTCAAAACTTAAGAAAATGAACTATTATAAAAATTAATCATACCTTAATAGATTATACTTATCTAAATTTTAGTATGAAAAAAGTATTTTGAGCATGTTAATAGGCTAAGTGAAGTTTTTTAAAAGATAATTAGACTTAAAAAACTTATTGTGAACATGTTACGTTCATAAAAATTCAAATACAATATAAGGAAATGTGAAAATAATAATAATTATTAACAGTAATTATAGTAATGTAAGATAAAATAAAAAAAGACAGGTGAGAACATTTTCTTTTATTTAGGAAATAAAATAAAATATAGAAAAAGAGAAAAGGAAAGAACTGATATATTTATAGAAAAAAAGCTTATGATCGACATATGTATGTTAGACCATGAACAAGAGGAGCAAGTCTCAATGTGTTTATTCATTTGAGATGTTATTGGCACCATAAGAAGGCTTGGAGAAAAAATTACAATTCATACCCTATAAACCAAAATTAAATTTTATGATAAGAGCCTTTCATATTTCTATTGTACTTGGATCTTAAATAATCTATATCAAACTCAGAAATGGAAAGAGAAACTATTTTTATTATAAGTTTATATTAAATTTATATAAACATGTGATGAGGCAATGGAAACAAAAAATAAAAGTAAATATAAGAAAAGATAAGTAATGTGATAGAGATAGATAGAGAAGTAATATTATATCATAAAAATGAAATGTGATGATAATATAATATAAAAATATGTCATGAATAAATAATAGTAAGTGTTTTTGTAGAAGATAACAGTGGCAAAGTAGAGGAGGTTGACAAGAAATGTTGGAGATGCACGTGATGTGGTCCTTCTGAGGCAACGTTGGTCCTATGAAGCGCTATCTCTGTGAAGCTATGCAGCATGTATTTTGTGAATAGAGAGTAACACAACAAGGAAGAATAAAGACCCCAATCCCTTTCCCACGTGCGTTCTCGCAGACACCCAAATTTGAAAGATGAATTATTGGAGATAAAGATAGAGTGGTGAGAGAATGTCGCGTTCTCCTACAATAATGTATGACTTTCAGTACTTGAATTGTAACCTCAAAACTACTCTTCTTTATATCACATACAAATACAATTGCCTGTGTAAACGTAAGGTTTTTTAGTTTAAAATTTCATTATTTATTATTTTACAATAGTAGCTAATTCAAAATAACTTTAAATATTTTTAAAAAAATTATTGAATAGATCAATAACTTCTTTACATGAAATTATTGATTTAGATAACCATGTAAAAAACTTTCAAGTTGTCATTGTCAATAAAGTTAGGTGTTGTAGGTCGTGCAAAAACCTCACTGTGTCGACCCTGTACTCAAAGCGACATTGTGTGTTCCACGTGTCCCAAATCCTCTCATATGGCTACACATGATAAGATGTCCCAACGAAGAGAACAATTGTAGTGAATACCATACATAACTAAAATAAATTCACAAACTTAACGTTTTTAAGATTTTCGTTTCAGTGTAATATAAAATTCACTTCCGGTTTTTTGTTTATAGTTCATTGAGGTTAAAATATTTGCCTAAAATTTCTCATAAATTCATTTTAAATACCTTCAACCAAATTCAATCAGTTCACATAAATCATCTTTAATCACCCTCTTAAACATTAAATTAATTAAACTTATTTCGGTTAAGATCCAATTAAAAAGATATATTTAAATTATATAAAATAAAACTAATCAAAACATTAGGATCTGTATAGAATAAATTTATCCTTAATCACTCCTTAAAAAAAGAAAACTAATATAAAAAAAATTCTCTTAACAATAATAATGAGATACATTAATTTGAGTAAAAATTATAAATTAAAATATGAAACAAAATATGTTTTACACTTTAGACATCATTGAGGTCACAATTGTTCGTCTTAATAGATATCTCAGTATCTTATTTATAAGTTTAAATAATGTATTAATAACTTGAAATAATTTTTTATTGAAAGAATATTATGTGCATAATGGTATTTAATTTTTTTTAATTATTTCATAAAAAACTTATATAAATAAATAAACCTAAGGAAAAAAAAGAATAAAGGTTTTATAAAATTTATTATGAAATTTTTTGATGGAGTAAAATTAATAATAAGTTATTAAAAAAAATAATGTAATTACATAAATTCTTGTTTTCATTTTTTTAAGATAAAAAAGAATTTGTGTGAGTAGTTGATATTAGAAATGCATTCATTCGTATTACTATTAAATAAAAATTTATAACTTTAATTGCATATAAATAATAAATAACAAGATTTCTGATAAATATCCATTCACACTATTTTGAGTATATATTTAAAAATTAATCTTAAATACACGTTAAATGATTTTAAAATTATATTAACTTTCAATAAATATTCACGTGTTTGGTAATGAGTTTATATAAATATTATTAAAATTTCTCATATTTTATAGGAGTATTTTTATAAATTTAAATAATTTTTAATAAGAAAAATTGCAGAAAATAATTTTAATAGTGAAACATATACTTGTTAAATATTTATGAAATTAATTTAAATAAATTTATTTTGTAACATTTCAATTGAATTTAAGATAATGTGATTTATGTAATTAATTTTATTTTAAAACAAATAATTAGTAAAACTCAATATATATAAATTTTTTTAACTCAGAAATTATATAAAATAATTCAATCCGTTTTCACAGCTTAATTTTCTAAACTCGATTGACGAGTTCATTTTGTCACAATATCTGATCCATATAAAATTTAGATAATTTTAATGAAGATTTCTTTTATTATTACATTAAAAAAATTTATCCGGCATGTGTGGATGCATTGGGTTATATCCGAATTGGGCTTGAACACTAAACACTGTTACTCAGAAAAGCCCAATCATATTATTAAGCCAGTATCAATATCTTTGGGTTCTTGTCATGGTAGAGACATCACATGCTCCTCCCATCTTATTTTATGAAAGTCTAATATTCTGACCAAACAATTGAAATAAAGGTTGCAAATTCTACGTGCATTATATCACTGGTTTTAACTTTACTTTTATTAATATTACCCTACAAATTTAAATAACTTCATAAGTAAAAATAAATTAAAAAGGATAGATATTTTACTATGAATAATTTATATTTTCTTTTATTAAATAAGAATAAAATAAGATAAGATATCGAAATTAAGGATGACATTTACAGAATAAATTATTCAAATCAAAGTAAAAAAAATATATATTTTATTGATAAAATATATCAAAAATTTTAGAATTCGATTCAAATCTTTATTGAAAAACTAATCCCTGCCAAGATCTAGATCATCAAAGTGAACAAATATTTTCAGCATGTATCAAGAGTAAACATTCAAATTATAAGTTGAAAAAAAAATGATAGCAAATTTAAGTGATACTATTTGAAAGGAATACAAATTATAAATTGAAAAACAAATTTAATTGCTGAAAGTAAAGAAAGTTAAAGAGAAAATAGCCCCTAAAAATACTTTAATTCAAGACTGAGGACTTGGATTTATTATATAGAGATAGATAAAAAATAATGTGAAATATATATATATATATATATATATATATATATATATATATAAAGAGATAAAATAAAATATAGATTAAAAATTAATAAGAAAGGAATTGATTCATTCAATTAGTATCTAACCTAATTAACACATTTAATCTAACCAATTAAACAATTATGAAATTCATAAATACTCAAAATAAGCATTGTGGATTTATAAATTAACCTAAAGCAAACAATTAAACATGTCTTTAAAATTGATTAATAATTAAGACATGATTATTTAATTTAAATTCAAATAAATAGAGTAAGTTGTAGTGTGAGTTAGGAGTCTCACTTCATATAGAAATGAACAAGAATAATTAAAAAAAAACTCCAATTTATAATCTGAATGTTATTTTTTTATTATTGAAAATAATGTCAAAGTTTATTATTTACTTATGACCTATTTTTTAAATATCTTATTAATGCTGTGCTCCCATTATGTTAAGATTCAATTAAGCATCAAATTTAAATTAAACAAATAATATGTATGAAACAGAGAAAATATAAGATATTTGATCGTTTGGGAGAAAATAAAACATCAAATTTAAATTAAACGAATAACATGTATAGAATTGAGCAAATATAAGATATTTGACCATGAATTTATGAGAAAATAAAGATCAAATAACAAAATCCATGGAGATTTGAAATAGTAAACGAAGGTTAAAAATTTTACATTTTAAGTCCAATTCAACTTAAAATCACCAAAAACTAAAGTAAACATATTAATTAAACACATTTAGCATAGTAAAAAGGAAAAAAACAAATTTTAATAAACACATATATAATGCACTTGTTAGAGTTGTTAAACAACTTTACCCATATTTTTAAATAAGTTTTTTTTTTTATCTGGTATGTCAATGAATCATTTTATTTCATTTTAACAAAATAATTATAAATAAAAAATTTAAAACAAAATATTTATATTTTATTATTCAAGTTATATTAATAAAATAAATTTTAATTTTAAATACAATAATTTTATATATATATATATATATATATATATATATATATTCAAATAAAACAATATTATTTAAATAAGTTTTAAAATATTATTATTATTATTTTAAAATGGACTAGCACGACCAAAATTGATTTAGGTTACAGGTAAATAGACATGATAAAAAAATATTGAGTAAAATTCAAGTCACAATTATTTTTTATCCAATGTAAACATTTTATGAATTTTTTGGACTCTTCCCATTTGAACACTTCCAAGTCATCAAAGACACATCCAGTGACACTAACCCAATTCATTAGTTTTTAAAAAGGTTTGATTTCCGTAAAAGGACAGATTTTTTTATTATTTTCTCTTTTTAAACCCCTCGATGGGTGGATGCACGATATGTTACAATTAAATTTATTTTAAGATATTAAAAATAATAGAAAACACAATTCAAATGATTTTTGAGAGGGACTTTATTTAAAAGATATTTTCTCCCTTCAAAGCATAAATTTTACATAATGATGCTTAAGAAATTTTTTTTCTTATTCCCTTTTAATTATAAATGTGTTTCTAGGTCGAATAATCTTTATATTAAAGTTGTCTTTGAACTAGTAGTTTGAAATTGTTGTCACTAAGCTTATTTAGAAGTTGCATTACATTAGTTTCATTACAACAATTTTTTTGACATTTTTCCTGTGATGTATGCTTTTTACTGTGCAAGAAAACTTCGTAACAAAGTTTTCCTCATACACAATAAACATTTTTCTTTTATATGTTCGAAGGGGGGAGAAATGGTTACAGTCATAAATTCTTCCTCCCATATCACGTGTTCCTCATTCTTCTTCTTTTGTCTAAAGCAACGAGATTCTACTCGTGCATGATCTAGTAAAACGGGAGAGAGCTTGAATTATGTGGGTAAGCTTCGGTAGAAATACCATACCAGGTAAGGGGAAGTTTAATTCATTCAATATATGAAATTGAATTGTTGGGTACTCTGTGAATACCCTGTGAATAAGGAATATGAGTAGAGATATGAATTATTTGAATGTCTGATTTTGAAGAATTTCTGATTTTGGATGAACTGTTCACCGTTTGAAAGTTTTTGAAATTCTTGAAATTAAGGATTAATTATATAATAAAATTGTTGTTTTTAACTTAAATTGAACATGTTTATGGTTTAATTTTGATTTGGAACTAATTTGGGTGATTGAATATAAGAAATTTGAAACCTGAATTTTGAAAATGGCGTACTGGAGGTGATTACTATTCATATTTGCAAAGTTTTAAATATTGATGAAATTATTGAAATTAAGGATGAATTATATGGTAAAATTGCTGTTTTCAACTTAAATTAGATATAATTCATGTTTAATTTGAATTTGGGACTAGTTTGGTTGTCTAAAACTGAGTAATTTGAAATTTGCCAAAATCTACAAAATTCGATACTGTTACTGGGCGAAGGAAGAAGAAAGAGATATGGTGGGGATTTTTTAAAAAGATCAAGGGTAAAATAGTCATTTTTCATCCTAGGGACATAAATGTAATTTTTGAAAATGTTCAAGGGTAAAATAGTCATTTTACATCCTAGGGACATAAATGGAATTTTCAAAATTGTTCAAGGTAAAATAGTCATTTTCGGGATATGGAAGGAATTTTCAAAAATGTCCAAGGGTAAAATAGTCATTTAGGGACATATATGGAATTTTAAGAAAAGATTAAGAGCAAAATAGTAATTTAATGATTTCAAAAATGATTTCGAAAATAGTTTCAGAAATAGTTTCGGAAATGATTTCGAAAATAATTTCAGAAATGATTTTAGAAAAATATATATATAAAGAGAGAGAGAGAAAATGATAGTGTGTTGTGACGTGCGTGGGTCAGACTGAGCCTGAGGCCCAAAATCAGTCATGAGACGTTATATATTGGCTAGACTGAGCCGGAGGGTTAGTGCCAGAATCAGTCAAATATTATTTTTATTGACCCGAATGAGCCGTGAGGACAGGTGGTCCAGAATCCGCCAAATGTGAATGATTTTTGTTATGTTTGAATGACACTCGGGGTGGTACAAAGTACTTTAGTATAATAACTATGTCAGAGGATTCTGAATGAGGTCCCAGACTTCACTGATTGGTCGGGTCAGGTAGACTACGAGATCAGGTGGTGAGAAGTCGATGAGGGGATAAGTGGTGGCACGCTCGGAGGGGTACTCCAGTATGAGTGATGAAGGGCGCCAGTAGTCCTACTCTGTGTGGAGGGTGGTCAGAATGGTACTCAGTGGCGGATCTTCTTGGGAGCTGAGGGGGGCCGTGGCCCCCCCAAAGTTTTATAACTCTCATGTAATTTATGATTTTGGCCCCCCCAAACTTAATAAACATTTAATATATTTACTTGTATATTTACAATTCTATCCTCTCGAGTCCCTCTTCAATTTTGTAACTCCCATGTAATTTATGACTTTCTCCCCTCAAACTTAATGATCATTTAATATATTTAAATATATATATACAATTTTATCCTTTTACCCTTTCATCTTCTTTCTTCCTTTTATATTTATTTATTATTTATTAATAATATATTATTTTATATTTATTTATTATTTATTAATAATATATTATTTGGGCCCCCAAGATCAATGGTCAAGATCCGCCACTCGATGGTACTGCAGGTGTCGATCACAATGTGCCTAGAGATGATAGCTTCGAGTTCGGGCATAGTTAGGGTATACTTCGGAAGGTGTCTTAATGTGTTGATGATTTTGTAATTGATCATAATATATAATTATTACTTCTATATCTGTTTTATTATATCGAATGATTTAATACTTACCCCTATTTTTTCATGTGGATGGGACTGCGATGATCACTTTTACATGGGAGCGAGATAAGGAGTTGAGAGATGGAGATGTGACTATTGGACAGGTAGGGATAGTTCGGTGGGATAACTTCGAGGGAGGTACTTTTATATGTATAATATATAAATAATTTTAATCTATGTTACAATTACAGTAATATAAAGTAAAATAAATGTCGTTATTTACTTGTTTACTATTTTGCGAAGATATAATTATAGTAGCGATTTGTAGGGGTTACATTTCCTTTTGGAAACTTTTCTCCCAATTTTTCAATAACCCCTCCTTGATGCAATCTAGCACCACATTTTGTAATTTTCAAGTGGTGAGAACTTCAATAATTCTTAGGTTTGGACCTTGTATGGTATTTTGATTTGTCATGCCTATATCCTCTGGTTGAATTTTATTTCTCTTATTTAATGTAAATCATTAAACAAATATATAAAATAAATATTTATCAACCACTCAACTCAGAACCTATAACTTCAAGAAACTATACATAATATTTTTTGTCACTAATGTTCTCGACTGTGAGATTGATTAATTTACAAAAACAAATATTTGCATGGGAACATAGCATATTTTGTTCTTATTATTTCGCCAATTATTCCTTTTTTTGTTCTTTTTCTTATTTATCTCAATTCTAAAAAATATTAGATTGTTGACCACTTTCCAACTGTTACACAAAGGTCAGAATATATAAATATTGTGACAAAATCGTGCAAAATTGACTACTAATTACAAAACAAATCGATGGCGCTGCTTTGTTTCAAAATAAACTTGTTTTAATAAATAATTAATAAAGAAAGCAGAATTAGTCAATCAATTGTGTGCAAAATGATTTGAAAAATCAATTTCGCTTTCCAAATGAGATTAGAAAAAATGGTTAAATTATATACCAGAGCATGAATTTATTTATATATTGGAATGAGTATTTCTTATTTATTCACTTCCATGACAGATTAGAGACCAATTACTGCATAAGACACAGATCTGTATGTCGGTAAATGTATATAATACAGCATAACTACGAGAATGAGCGTGCTTATTATGAATATGATTGTTCTAACTACCTTCTTTCTATCATTTTCTTCATTGATGTTGGCACTGGCAAGACAGACATGGGTTCCAAGGTGTTACCACTATATTATTCAATAATTGCCTATGTTTGTATATGCATTATCCCCATCAATCAAACAGCAGCAGGGGTCTAGCATGCTTAGTTTAGACGTTAAAAATCTTATTTAAATTAACATAATTGCAATGACATAAGAATCTTCAAGTGACACACAACGCATGGGGTAGGATTAGGTGGTGAAAATTTTCCCTACACTTAAAAATTAGGAGAGTATAGAGGAGAACAAACCTAACCACATTGTGATTTTCTTTGTTACTTTGACAACCATGCCAAACTTGACCTCAACCAATCAGATTATTCAAGTGCCTTTGACAAGGCATGCTCCAAAAAGGTATGATTAGATTAATCACAAGTCCACTAGTGGTGCATTGACATGTGTTAGACATCAGTTTCATAGCGAAGACTTTAATCTTAGCTACATTTTTTATTTCTCTTCCTCAAGGCTTAGCAGTCAACTTCTTAATGGAAAAGGAATCAAATCTAACTGCTCACGATGGAAATAAAGGACTTGTTTTACCTTTTAAGCAGCCATTTCCCTTTATGATGGTTTATGAGTTTAGAATTTGCTGCATATTTCAAACACTTCCTAATGTGTCTTAGATAAGCCATCGTTAATTTACTGCTTAATGTTTAAATTTCTTTCTCAAATAAAACTTCCCACTTGCCCTGTGGAAAGTTAGGGTGCTCACACAAAATAATATTACAGCAATTAGATCATTGCTGTAGATCTGCTCAAGGTGTTTTGTTTTCTGGTACTCTTTAGGCTCAACACATTTTTACACAGCAATGGGGATGCCATTTTCTCGAGATTAAGCGACCTCGAGCAGAAAAGCATTTTACAAAACTTATTTTGTAGATTAGAGACTAAGGGATTTTCTAAATGAGGAACAGACACTGAAAATAAATAAAAAATGAACCAACTAATTAGATGGAGACTATATGTCTTGAATTATCTCAGAATATATAGGACATATTTACACTCCAGATATAAAAGAATATTTCCTTTTTACTCTACAAGCATCACAACACAAACTCTTTCTATGTTATGAATTGTTGAAAGGTCTGAGTACACCGGTTTTGCGTATTATGGTCTGAGTACACGCTTGAATTTTAACCCCGTAAGTTGTAGAAGACAATTCGTAACAATATACACGTAGCTCTTTAAACTGTATTCTTCAG